CTTGCTCTGGTCTCTGCCACTCAGCCACAGGAGATGACTCAGGCTCAGAGGGGAAAAGTTCACCCCTTTTCACGAAGACCAGAATTTGCAAACAAACTTTTCTCAGTGTGAGAACAGTCACTGTTTTCTCTCTACTCAGTACCTAATTTCACCTTGTTATAATTTTTGGCTGTAATGCAAGGTTTGCATATCTTTAAGGGGAAATTCCAGTCGTAGCTGTGCTGCCTGTGTGTCACCCTCAGGGCTGGAGGCTTCTGAGGGATGTTTTTAGGGAAAACTGGTGGAAAATCTGCAGAGCAGTGGCACTTGAATTTAATAGAATAGTTGTTTAGTGTTGCTTCAGCAGCATCATTGTTAATTAATGGGGGATGAGGAATATAATTTTCTCATGCAGAATTCCCTTTGCTGCCCTGCTCTGTCTAACAGGACAGAATCACAGAATCCTGGTAAATCCTGAGTGGGAAGGTTCCCACAAAGATCATCCAGTCCAACTCCTGGCCCCGCACAGGACACCCCAGCAGTCCCACCCCGTGCCTGAGAGTGTTGTCCAAGCACTCCTTGAGCTCTGGCAGCCTTGGGGCAGCTTCCCTGGAGGCCTGAAGGAACTGAAGCCTATGGAATCCTGGGATAACAGTGCTATTTCCTCAGTCAGTCCCACTCCCTGCTCCAGCAGTGCTCCTGACTGACTCCCAGAAGGCCAAAGCCTCACGCTGACCTCGGGATGCTGAGAGTGTAGGTTTGACAACAGCAGCCTTGTGCTCTATGTAGGGGTGTTGGTTTTGACCCATTTCTATCCGAATGATGCCTGGAAACTGGGCATTCTGTCAGCCTGTCCTCACGTGGCAGCAGGACTGGAAGCTCAGACTGAGCAGTTGAGTGCCTGCTCTTGCTTAGCTGTGTAACACACCTGGACAGGACGGGCACAATCTGCTGCTTCAGGAATCCCCGGGGTTTGACCTGTTTCCATGGGCAGGCAAACGCATTCCCACAGCTCAGAGTTCTCTGGAAGGCCTGGAGTTGGGGGTCTGGCTGTGGCCCCCATCCCTCTGGGCTCCCCAGGGTGTCAGTCCCTGGTGAGAGGTACCTGTGCCAAGCCCCAGTGATTGCCCTGTGCCCAGCAGGGACACGAGGAGATACTGAAGGGAGGAAAACTCACTCAAAATATCAACTCTTTGCACAGGCAGCACTGCAAGGACTGTACAGACCTTGCATTTGTTGGGGGATTGTTCAGCTGTTTGTGTTTCCTGCAGCAGTTCCAATGATGGCTTTATTGCTAATTAACCCTAGGATTAGTGTGTAACTGATTTAATTGCTGCATTTCATCTTTCACAAGAGCAAATACAAATACCTCCTGCATTCCTGGGCAGGTTTCTGTTAAAACTCTTAATTACTGCTCAAGTGGCTTGGGTGGTCTTTCTAATGTTTAATATCCCAGCATTGCCTCTTTTCTAACAGTTAATTATTTTCACAGTGAACTACTGAATGCCACATGCATTAGAGGAACAAAATTAAAAGACAGTGACCTGACAGAGGGGGGGAAAGGGGGAAAAGCTTCTCCTTCCAAACCTGGGAGAAGGCACAGAGGGGGCCAAACTCATGGGTTGTGAACTCCGTGGTCAGTCCTGCTCTGGAATAAGCTCCTTGGTTGGCTCTGGGATATTTGACTGCAGAGTAGGGAGCTTCAAACCAGGGCTAAATAAAGTGTTTTTCTGTCAGGATACCCTGTCCCTTCCTTCCATGCGACAGATTTTGGTGGTTTTTTAGATTATCTGCTTATCCTGGAGCAACATGGACACTCTGGCAGCTGAATCCGCTTTCAGCTGGTGGCAATACCTACAAATACCTCATCTCCTGTACCTTGGCAGTGTTCCCAAAGCAATACTGCAATATTTTCCCTTGGGCTCAAGAGTTCTTTTCTACCCAAACATTTCACAAAGGCTGTCACAGAATTGGAAGGGACCCACAGGGATCATCGAGTCCAGCTCCTAAGTGAGTGATCCAGGGATCAACCCCACACCCTTGGTGTTATTAGCACCGGGCTCTAACCCCACACAGTCCTAACAAAGGTTTCCCCTTCCACAAGCTGGTGCCTACTGCCAGTAAAACTGATTTTCTAACTCCTGATACCCCAAGCTCGAGGCCCAGAGGACATTTCAGGGATCCCCTTCCCCATCTGCACCCCCAGCCCCATCTGCTCCCAGATCTGCCAGTTCCTTCTTAAAAATGCCCCTGAAGGGGATTTCAGGTGCCTCAGTTTCCCTCCTATACTCACTTTTATACTTCATTTTCAATCAAGGAGCTGTATTTCAGCACAAGTTTTTGGTTAGAACAGTATGAGTTGGGCTGGGTTGTGAGGTTTTGGGGTGGTTTTTCCAAAAAAAAAGACGATTTATGCATTACAAAAAATAGTGTAGGTTTGATCAATACTGGGAACTGGAACTTTTTTGATCTGTTTGTGCAAGATTGCAGGAAATAACACCAATAGTTGAGCGAGGTATTCCTTAAGTGTGAGCCCAGAGGAGACAATGTTACACCAGCAAGCCCCAAACCAATCCCTGGGGAGCTGGAATGCCTTGAGGGCAATGGGAAGCTCAGCATTGATCAAATAAAAGACAACACCTCCACTCTCCTGGATCGTAAGTCTCTCTGAACAAAGCAGATGTAACCCAGCACCTCCAGGCACACCCGGCTCTTGGGAGTTATTTGCAGTTTCTTCCCCTGAGTCTGGACAACTTGAACCCCATTGTGGGGGTCTTGGGGTTCCCCCTCATCTTCAGCACCTCTCACATCCATCCACTCCTGCTGCTTTCCAAATGAGAGTTTGAAACCAATGAGTGAGCCCTGATATAAAAAGGAAAAAAGATAATAAGTAATAACCAACTGTGTGGAGTTCGACAAGGGTAAGGGTCAGATCCTGCCCCTGGGACGGGGCAGCCCTGGATGCAGGGACAGACTGGGGAACCAGGGGCTGGAGAGTAGCACCACAGGAAGGGCCCTGGGGGTCCTGGTCAGTGGCCAGTTGGATCTGAGTCAGCAGAGTGTCCTGGCAGCCCAAAGGGCCACCCTGTCCTGGGGGGCATCAGGCCCAGCATCGCCGGCTGGGCCAGGGAGGGGATTGTCCCACCCTGCTCTGACCTGGGGCGGCCTCACCTCGAGTCCTGGGGGCTGTTTGGGGGCCACAGTGTCAGAAACATCTAATCAATGTCAGAAGGATGTTGGAGAGTGTCCAAAAGAAGCACATGGGGATGGGGAAGGGTCTGAGGAGCAGCTGAGGGCACTCGGCTGGTTCAGCTGGAGCAGAGGAGACTGAGGGGAGACTCCTCGGGGGCTGCAGCTCCTGCCCAGGGGAGGCAGAGGGGCAGGGACTGAGCTCTGCTCTGGGACCAGGGACAGGAGCCAGGGAAGGGCTGGAGCTGTGCCAGGGGGTTGGGATGGATCTCAGGGAAAGGTTCTTCCCCCACAGGGTGCTGGGGCACTGCCCAGGCTCCCCAGGGCAGTGGGCACGGCCCCAAGGCTGCCAGAGCTCCAGGAGGGTTTGGACAACGCTCTGAGGGACAGGGTGGGATTGTTGGGGTGTCTGTGCAGGGCCAGGGGTTGGACTGGATGATCCTTGTGGGTCCCTTCCAGCTCAGGACATTCCAGGATTCTAATTTAATTTACCACCAGCTGTGGACTGGAGGAAGCACTGGCAGTTCACACAGCCTGAGTTTGATGTCAGCCCAGAGCAGTGGCTGGAGCTGAGCTCATTGCAATGATCCCAGCGGGATCCAGGCGCGCTCCCATGGACACCACTGCTCTGAAGTCTGATGCTGATCCCTTCCCAACTCTCCTCCGAGCAGGATTCTTACCAAAAATCTAACGCATCATCCATTCATTGAAGGAAAACTGATTCCTCTGACTTGCCCTGGGAAGGAGGCTGCCTTGTGGTGCTTGGTGTTTTCCAGCGTGTGGATACTGCAATGGTGAGGAATATGACCTGCCAGGATTCGGGTGCTGGGTGACACCTCATTCCCAGAGCTGGATTCCAGGTGGATGTTCCCCAGCAGCGGGAGGCAGACACCCCTCCCAGGGCTTCCACCGTGGGTCATTTGGCCCTGCTTGGTTTATACTTTTTTCTGGAAAACTTTTCACTGCTTTGTCTTCACTCCAGCTCCTCCAGAGCAGATTTCCCCCCTTTCACGGGAGGGTGTTTGAGGGGTTTTTGTGTGTGGCTCGCCCTTCAGACCCTGTCCCTGAGCAGGGCTGTGGCCGCTGCACAGAGCTGAACGGCCTCCGGGGCAGCCCCGCCGCCAGTGCCGGTTCTCCCCGGCGGGGTCCCGGCGGGTCTCGGTCCCCGGGCGGGTCCGTGTGCCCGGGCGGGTCCGTGTGCCCAGGCGGTGGGCGGGGGTCGCGCTCGGGTGGGTCCGTGTGCCCGGGCGGGTCTCTGTCCCCGGGCGGGTCTCTGTCCCCAGGCGGGTCTCTGTCCCCAGGCGGGTCCGTGTCCCCGGGCGGGTCCCTGTCCCCGGGCGGGTCTCTGTCCCCAGGCGGGTCCG